GCTTCATGGAAGTCAGTTTGCACAATCTGGCTCATATATTCCACCTGTTCGGGCAGCAGAGATGGACAATAACATTTGAAAGTCTTACTTCAAAATTTGTTCTCTATTTCACCGCGGTGTCGTCACGGGAAGTGAGTCTCTGTGCCAGCGTGGGAAGTGAAGTCATGACCTGGCTTACAAACAAAAACACTTCCCAAAGGAATCTGGCCAAATCATGGCGCGTGACTTAATGCAAAAAAGAGAGGTATTGAAAGGTCAGCATGATGACGGATTATACTTCACTCTGCTTACACTTCTGCAGTTGTTTGCTGGTGCAGGAAGGCAATGGGAGGAGGGCAAATCCCAGTAGCAGTGTATCAAGAGCCTGTGTTGGTATGTTATGTGGCAGTGCTTGCTTTTGGGGCTTCCAGCCTGGCACCTAGCGATGCTTGCAGGAATCCTTCCACTGGCTCTGCAGCCGTGGGACGTGCATGACTTTGTGCTCTCCCAAACTGCAAGTACTGCAGCCTGGGTTTACAAAGAGGTAGGGAAGCCCAAAACAAGCTCAAATCAGTCCTCATTCCTTTACCATTATGTGCCATAAGGGGTACAAAGCATCCAGTGCTGGCTGGTGGTGTAAGTAAGCCTCTGTCATGCTTTAGGAGAAATTGGTATCGTTCCCTCTAGGTCAGGAAGCCATGCCAGCCTACACCACCTGGGTTATGCCTCGAGGACTAGTTGTGACCCAGTATGGTGCTGAGGGGTTTCAGAGGCCTGGGAATGAAAAACAATTGTTCCCGACAGTGTCTCTGTTCCAGTTTTACACATAGACAGCTTGACATCTTTTTTTCTTAGCATAGAACAGAAAACGGCATTAGGGTGGCACTGCACGAGTGATTCTTTTTGCAATTATCAGTATCTATCTTAGTCAGCAAATGTTGATTATCACCCTCACAGAAACAAATGGCATCCTTTTTGGACAAATTAGTCTCTTGGCATAAGTTAGCAGAAGCTGTGTGATTATGAAGAAATCCGACACGCTTACAAGCCGACATACTGACCACGGGGCAAAAGGAAATCAGACAACAGAGTAACTTGGTGTGCTGATTGTGAACGAAGAGATCAGACTGGCTCAAGTAATAGAGGCCTTGAGCTGCTGGGGTGGTCACCTGCCTGCTGCAGGCACCTGCGTGCCCTGTGGTCTCGTGTCAGCTGTGTAGGAGCTGAAGGCTCGTAGGGCCGTGGGATGCCCTGGGAAGGGGCTGTGTCTGTTCTCTCTCCTCTATACTGATGCTTCATATTCTTCAGGCTGCGGGAAGGGATAAGACAGAGATTGCCCCCGTGGTCTAGTATTCAGACTTGGTATGGAAAAGTTACCTGTGTAATACCTGTTCTGCTCCGTGTGGGAAAGGACAGGCTGAACTGACGTGTTTGTGAGGTGAGGTCGGGTAACAAAGCTCCCTGCATGTGAGACTGCAGAAACTGGTCCTCTCCTTCCAGGTGAGTTTTGATGTGCACCTGCTGTCTGCACTGCTGTGGGAGCGAGACCCTCTCCAGCAGGGTCAGTGTCAGAAAAGCACAAGGGAAGAGGTGCCAGCCCCGTGTCTGGCAGGCCATAGGGCTGGCACTGAACTGCTTGGGCTGTCAAGAGTGAACAGGCAACTGGGCAAGACCACAGCAAAAAGCTATTAGGGTATGGGGAAAGCGAGGATCTTAAACAAACCCAGATATAGCCAATGTGAATCAAAGGCTCTCAGAATTGCAATTTTGGACAGTCCTTCCCTGGTTTGTTTGATTACTTCTTTATTTAGCTTTATCACTGCTAGGTTGAGGTGTCTGTTTAGAAAGGCACATTCCTTCGTTCTGACACGTGTGTTCCTCTAAGGAAAGTCCTATAGATATTTCAAATATATATATTTTTTTCCCACTCGGATGTATTTGTGCATATAAGAGCACTTAAAAACTATAGCTCAGAGTGCTGAAACTCATCTTCCTACATGCATCAGTGATCCTAAATAAGTAATGAAGCAGAAGTAGCTAAGATGCAAATATGAAGTATCTTATTTTCAGCTTGGCTTGCATTAGGCTGTTAATTTCCATTAGCATTAATGAGAAAACACACCCAAAGGTTTTCACAAGGCAAGAGTTCTGATCTTCCTAACAATAATTTCCCTTTTACAGTGCCTTTCAATCAAGGATATTTGTATTTTGCAAACTTAATTAAGAATTAATTAATTAACAATATTCCTGGAATGAATAGCAAATGGCATTTTCCTCATTTTATCAGTGTGTGAATGGAGGTTCCTAGTGGGGTGTGGGAATCCTGGCTATGGTGTTGAAATCTGAACCACTGATGCCACCATCTCAGCTTGCAGGGGACTTCGGTTTTACTCAGGTGAGCAGCTGAGCTCCACCACAGCTACTGTCTCACTCCCCCTGCTCAAAGGAAAAGGGGGAGAAAATACAGTGAAAAGGGCTCGGGTTGCGATTAGGACAGGAGCTGAACAATTATTGAGATGGAAAAAACAGTCTCAGAGTAGGAGATTAGTAAGATTTGTTGCCTATTAGTAACAAGCTAGAGAAGTGAGAAACAAAGGAAAGAAACCAAAAGCACCTTCCTCCCATCTGCCCTCTTCCACCTCTCCCCCCCCCAAGTGGGGCAGGGGAACGGGGGAATGGAGGCTATGGTCAGTCTAGAGCGCTTCATCTCCACCGCTAGTTTGTGGTCACTCTCATCCCCTGTGCTGTGGGGTCCCTCCCACAGGTGCCGTCCTTCCCAAACTGATCCGGCGTGGGCTTCCCACCCGCAGCAGCTCCTCGAGAACTGCTCCAGTATGGCTCCGTCCCACAGGCTCCATCCCTCAGGAGCACACTGCTCCAGCCTGGGTCCCCCCCGGGCAGCAGCTCCCCCTCCATCCCCTGCTCTTGCATGGGCTCCTCTCCACGGGCTACAGGGCTGGCCCAGAATCTGCTCCGGCAGGGGTCTTGCACAGGCCACAGCCTCTGTCACTGCAGGGCCACCTGCTCCAGCGGGGGCTCCTCCACGGGCTGCAGCGTGGAGCCCTGCTCCACTGTGGTACTCCATGGGCTGCAGGGGGACAGCCTGCTGCACCAGGGGCCTCTCCACAGGCTGCAGGGGACTTGGGCTGCGTGCGTGGAGCACCTCTCCTCCTCTCTCCTTCTTCACTGATCTTGGCGCCTGCAAGGCTGTTTCTCACTCCTTTCCCTCTCCCAGCTGCTGTGTAGACATGTTTGTTTTAGTTGGTTTTTGTTTTTTTCCCCTGTCTTTAATACGCTCTCCCAGAGTCGTTGCTTGTTGGCTTGGCTCTGGCCAGCAGCGGGGCCCTCATCTACCATGGGGCAGCTTCTGGAGTCTTCTCACAGAAGCCACCCCTACGGCCCCCTGCTACCCAAACCTTGTCACAGAAACCCACTAGAGATGCGAGGCTGGGACACGAAGTAGCAACAATGTCACGTCCAGGCCCAGTCCTGCCCAGCCTCTTCATGAATGATGCGCAGGGCGGAGCAGGCCGTGCCCTCAGCAAGTCTGCTGCTGATCCAAGCTGGGAGGAGATAGGGATGCAGCAGAGGGTGGTGCTGCCCTCCAGAGGGCCCTGGGCAGGCCGGAGAAATGGCCTGGCAGGATCCTCCTGGAGTTGGCGCCAGGGAAGCTTGAAGCTGAGGCCCTGGGGAGGAAAGCTGGAGAGCCCGAGGCTTGTTGGAGTTGCCCCAGCTGGAGGCCTGGGTCCAGTTCTGGGCTCCCCAGGACAGGAGAGCCATGGGCCTACTGGAGGGAGCGCAGTGAATGGCAGCCAAGCTGGTGGCAGGACTGGAGCATCTGTCCTCTGGGGAGAGCTGGAGAGAGCCGTGACTGCTCGTTGTGGAGAAGGCCTGTGGGGATCTGGCTGAAGGACCTCAATATGTGAAGAGAAGGTGCAAAGGAGATGGAGCCAGGCTCTTCTCAGTGGTGCCCAGTGTCCACGTGGCTGCAGGTGGCCCTGCTTGAGCATGGGGGTTGGAGCAGGTGACCTGCAGAGGTGCCTTCCAAGCCCGAGCCCAGTGTGTGTCCGGTGGTTTTGCAGGGACCTGAACCAAAGCGCGGCCATTCAGCCAGGCCCGAGCAGTGTCGTGTTCTTGTCCCTTCCTTCTTTCTGGGCATCCTCTGCCTCCCTGTAGCATTCTCAAGGGTTAGTAGTGGTGGGAAGAGCAAGAAGAGCCTTTTCTGCAAAGACCTGTGCTTGCGATGGGGCTGGGCCTGGCACTTGTAGTCTTGTGAACCTGGTGTGTCTTCGTGGGCACCTGGCCCTTTCCTCTGCAGCTGGGAGTGCTTGGGGGTGGTCCTGAGCAAGGAAGGGGCTGTGGCCTCCTGTGTAGGGGAAGCTCCAGGCTGGCTGGTGACTGCAAGGGAGAGCTGAGGCGAGGCTGGCCTCCAGAGCAAGCCAGGAGGTGTTGTGTCAGTATGGGAGGCGGGGAGGCTTATATTGATGAAGTACCTTCTATCTATCCTTCTATTTGCAGCCAGACCATTGCTGCAACTTGTTTGGCTTGAACTCTCTTTGCTGGAGCCCCTTCACAGGACACCGTATTTCAATCCATAATGCTGAAAGGAGAATATTGCTGTCTTTGGGTGGTAACTCTGCTTAGAGCCTTCTTCCAAAGCGGAGGCTGAGCATCAGCTTCTGGTAGGAGAAGGTAGTTCGAGGCCACAACCACTTTTAAGTTATTCTTTAATAAATATATTCCTTTAATGATAGTAAAACCAAAAAAGTGTTGGGCTAAACGTTTGTGCTCCAGTCCTGATTTGGTTGGTCTGTCTCTGCCTTGACTCTTCTCCGAGTTGTTCAAGTGCCCACGTGCTGAGGCTCTGCTTCTGCTCAGCACAGCACTGGGGGTCAGCTTCCTGCTTGGTGGTCAGGTCTGCTTTGTTAAATAGCAGTGCCTCCTTTCTTCTTTTTTCTTTTTTGAGGGGTGGGTGTTTTGCGTGTATTTATGTCTTAGTCTGAGTGTTCAAGAAGCGATAATCATGTAGACAAAAAACCAAAACCACTTTATTTGTACAGGCAAATGCAAGCGAGCCGCAGCACACTGTGCTCCCCCTGGAGCATCTGTCCCCAGGCCGGGATCAGGGCTGTGGCCGGCTGTAGGGGCTGTGGCGCTGGGGCAGCACCCTGCCACGGCCGGCTCTCCTCTCCGGTGGTGAGGGTGAGGAGCTGGGAGCTGCAAGGGGAGGCAGGAAGGTCAGCGGATGTGCCCACCCTGCCTGGCCTGCAGAGGGCACGGAGGGCTCTGGCGCCCCGAGCCTGAGCACGCCGTGCCCCTTACCAGTGCCAGTGCCCGGGCCAGCGCAGCCAGCGCACTCCCACTGCTGCGTGGTGTCCCCAAGGCCGGAGCATCGGCGGTGGGTCCCGCTGGCGGCACAGGAGGAGCAGAGCAGCAGCTGCCAGGGCCTGGGGAAGAAGTTGTGCTGGTGAGCACGCAGAGCCCAGCAGGCAGTGGCGCCACAAAGGCCCCCAAGGCTCCAGAAGCATTGCTCACGGCGCCCCAGCAGAGGGGAAGGTGCCTGGGCAGAGCCCCAGCAGCCACTGCACGGCTTGCTGGAGATGTGGCTCACAGCCCCCAGCAGCCGGGGAGCTGCTGCTGTGGATGCTCACCCTTCCTCTTGCCACTGCTCGCGGCCTCCCCTGTACAGGCACTGCCTGGCATCGCAGCGGCCATACAGCTGCGGCAGTGCCGGCTCCTCCTCCTCGTCTTGCTCCCAAGCCGGCTTTCTTCAAGAGAAAGTAGGAAAGAAAGGTCACGAGCTCCTGGGGCACTCACTCAGCAAGTGTCAGTGCTGATGCTGGGACAGGGCTCAGGGGCATCCCTGGCGGCAGGCCAGCATCCTCCTGTCCCCCAGGCAGGCAGCCCCTTTTGTTGGGGACAGTCTGCCTGGAGGGATTAGGGCCTGGGGCTGTGCCCTCTCCTGCCTTGAGTGGGGTGGGAAGGAAGGAAGGAAGGAAGGAAGGAAGGAACGCACTTGTTGGGCACGCGGATTCCCATGTGCAGCATCTCAGGGAGAAAGCGCTCCCGGTCCCGGCAGTGAGGACACGCAAAGTGCCTGAGGCCCGCCCGAAGCGCCTGTCCCTGTGGAAGAGAGACTCCCCGTGTGAGCAGGACGCCGCTGCGGGCGCATGGTGTCCCTGCGGGCTGGCAGAGGGAAGGGCCTCCTACCTGGATGCAGCCGCGGTGGAACCAGGCGTGCTTGCAGGAGGGGCACACCATGGTGGTGTAGGAGAGGCTGTCCTCCACCACCTCCATGCAGATGATGCACGTGGTGTGCCCCTCCTGCAGCGTCTCCACGCTCTGCTGCGGGCGGTGCTCCCAGCAGAAGGAGCTGCGTGAGGACGGAAGAGTTGAGTGAGGCCAGGGACCACGCGTGCCACACCGGGGACTCTGCCTGCAGGGCGCAGGCTGAGGGGGCTGCAGCCCAAGCTAGGGCAGCTCGTACCTGTAGTCCCCAAAGAACTGCGAGATGCAGCCCCGCTGGGAGCTGCAGGGCAGGTGGAAGCGGCGCGAGCAGCGCTTCTGCCAGCAGGCGACGGTGGCCCCCTTCTTGCGGCAGACGCAGCAGCGCTGCAAAGAGCACAGCAGCCCCGTCAGGGACGTGGCCGGGGCCACTGGCACTTGCCCGGAGCTTGTCCAGAGCCTCGAGGATTTCTTTGCCAGGGCTTGGGCTCAGCTGCCACAAGCCTCGTCTGCTCCAAAAAAGCCCTCACCTTGCGAGCTGCCCGACCCGCTACCCGCCTGATATCCGCGCAGAGGAATCCGAAGATTCCTTCCCCTTCAGCGCCTCGCTGGTACAGGCCCTGGGCTGGAAACTGGAAGAGAGCAAAGCCCCGCAGCTGCTCAGGGCAAGGAGATAGGGACCATGGTGGGGAGGCTGTGCTGGCAGCGCAGCAGGAGGAGGTGACAGCCAGCGAGCAGCGCGCTGGGGATGCCACAGTCCTGTGGGCTCCAGGTGCCAGGCAAGGGCTTGGGGAAAGGCGCGGGCAGCCGCGGGGAGCTCACCAGGCAGTGCACGTGGGCGCAGACCCCGTCCACCTGCAACATCGGCCCGCAGCCATCCAAGCTGGTGTCCGAGCGGTGGCACAGCACGCACTCTGGGGGAGGCAGGGCGGCAGCCATGGATGAGAGCATCCCCCCACTGAGCACCTGGCAGGTGTCCCCGAGGGACGCCCGCAAGGGCCTGCTCGGGGGCTCCTGGCAGGGCGTCCCCGGGTGTCCACAGCCCAAGCGGCTCTGCACAGCCCCAGGGGGTGCTCAGGGCCCTCCACCTCCAGGGAGCTGCTGGGGCATCTGCTCTCACCGTCCTCCTGTGCCTCAGGGGCCTTCTCCTCCTCTCCGGCAGCCATGCTGCGCAGCAACTCCTCGCCTCGCCTGGCCTCGCCTCGCTGCCAGGAGCTGCTGCCTCCACGCCTGGCGCTCACCAGAGACGCAAAGTCCCCCCCAGACTCGCCTGTGTCACTGGTGTCATAGTGCTCCCTCCGTGTCACTAGGAGACCATGGAGTGGTGGATGATGCGGCAGGGCCCAGGAGCTCCCCCAGCCTCACAGACACCCCCTGGGCTTCCAAGCCCACGGTGCAGCCTCTTCATCCCCGTGAATGGCCGTGGTGGCTTGGCCTAGGCTGGCGGCCAGGTGCCCACCCAGCTGCTGTCTCGTTCCCTCCTCAGCTGGGGAAGGGAGAGAAAATTCGAGGGAGAAACCCTCGTGGCTTGTGAGGAGGGCACAGGGAGATGGCTCACGGGCCGCAGGAGAAGCAGAGAAGTGAGAAACAAAGAAACAAAAGGAAACAACAACAACAACAACAACACCTTTCCCCCACCCGTCCTCTTCCCCCTCTTCCCCCCGAGTGGCGTAGGAGAATGCGGGAATGGGGGCTGCGGTCAGTCTGTAGCACTTGGTCTCTGCCGCTGCTTCTCGGTCACTCTTGTCCCCTGCTCCAACGTGGGGTCCCTCCCACAGGTGCCGTCCTTCCCAAACTGATCCGGCGTGGGCTTCCCACCCGCAGCAGCTCCTCGAGAACTGCTCCAGTATGGCTCCGTCCCACAGGCTCCATCCCTCAGGAGCACACTGCTCCAGCCTGGGTCCCCCCCGGGCAGCAGCTCCCCCTCCATCCCCTGCTCTTGCATGGGCTCCTCTCCACGGGCTACAGGGCTGGCCCAGAATCTGCTCCGGCAGGGGTCTTGCACAGGCCACAGCCTCTGTCACTGCAGGGCCACCTGCTCCAGCGGGGGCTCCTCCACGGGCTGCAGCGTGGAGCCCTGCTCCACTGTGGTACTCCATGGGCTGCAGGGGGACAGCCTGCTGCACCAGGGGCCTCTCCACAGGCTGCAGGGGACTTGGGCTGCGTGCCTGGAGCACCTCTCCTCCTCTCTCCTTCTTCACTGATCTTGGCGCCTGCAAGGCTGTTTCTCACTCCTTTCCCTCTCCCAGCTGCTGTGTAGACATGTTTGTTTTAGTTGGTTTTTGTTTTTTTCCCCTGTCTTTAATACGCTCTCCCAGAGTCGTTGCTTGTTGGCTTGGCTCTGGCCAGCAGCGGGGCCCTCATCTAACATGGGGCAGCTTCTGGAGTCTTCTCACAGAAGCCACCCCTACGGCCCCCTGCTACCCAAACCTTGCCACAGAAACCCACTACATCCTCCCAGGCTTAGCCAATGAAGAAGTTCAGTTTTCTTAGGCTGCAGCCACTTTCACACCTGAATTACATCAGCAGATAGCCCTGACTAGAGCCATGTGCAAGAGAGAGTCTGTAAACTATAAGGCCTTTTATCAAAGACTATTAAAGTCAGTGGGAAATTTTCACTGAAGTCTATGGACTTGTTTTTGGGGTTTCAATGGGAAATTCTTTAAAAGAGCATTTTTTCATAGATGCTTAAATCAAATGGTATGATACACTTGGCACTACACCAAAATTTTGACTTTTTGTATCAGCTAAAAATTATTTGACATTTAACTTCTAAAAATCAGGGTAAAATTATCATTTTTTGATTGCTTTGTTAATATTAGGTGTTTGTTATAAAGGTCATTGACATTAACATGACTTTATGTTAAATAATGAGTTTCTTATTGGAGCTAGAAGTACCTAAGCATAACTAAAATGGAAATAAAAGACAAAGGCAGAATAGGCTTAGATATATTTTACTTGTAACAGTTGGGGAGAAAGAGAATAATCAACTTAGCTGGTGGAACTTGTATCAGGAATATAGAATCAGCCAAAACAGAATTCTTGAAACCTATTTTTAATACTTCATTTTAGGAAAAAAAAAAAAAAGTTCTGTAGAATCCAAGTGTAAGGAATAAAAAGGATGCTAGATGAGGTAGGATATTATTGCAAACACTGTATGAATGCAGCAGGTGTTATAAATAACTTGTGAAACCGATTTCTAAATGTATTGTGAATGTGAAGGTGGACAGTGGAGACTGAAGTCTATAGCATGTAATTTGTTAGTCTTGGTCAACAGGAGTTGCAGCAGGGTAAGAGCACAATGGTCTAGGAAGTGATTCGTGCCTTCTGATGCTTCTGTTAATATGGCTCCCTCTCCAAAACAGATTGAAGCGGTGCAAGAAGAATTAGTCTCATGCAGCCTTTTAGAATAGTGAATCAAGCATTTCATTAGAATTTCATTAGAAATGCCAAGGTCTACTTCCTTGCCATTTCCCTTCTTTTTCAGAAGTCAGTATGAATGTGTCATGGATGTTGTGTGTGAAGTGATACGCCTCCTGTTCTAAAACACAGAAGGAACTTATCTAGAAGTAGTTCAATGACCTTGATTTTTGGAAATCATGAGGAAAGCTGTTGCATGGAAGTAATGAATAGTTGCATATTTGGCTTTACTACAGTCTGTGCTGTAAGAGTACATTAATGGTTACTTCCATTGTATAAAACAATTCAGTTTCTGCTGTAATGTAGCATTATATCATTAAGCTTTTAATATCTCATAAGAAAAACCTTCTAAAGGAGATAAAATTAGGTCTATCATGAATTATTTATCTATTGTTATGAATTTCTGTTGTGAAATCTCATTAGACACTTGGCATGTTACCATCTCTCTTCTGCTTGGCATTGTTTGTGCTGATTCACACATACCATTTGTCTTTCTGTTTCTGGACTGTTGCTGGTAGCTTTCTTGGCCCTTCCTTTGTGCAAGCTGGCTTTTGCAATTGGTCCTGTATTCATTCATATTCAAAATTAATTTGAGTGTAGTAGTTAGGAGTAGAACACTGGGGTCCAGGAAATGCTACCTTTTTCCCCTAGGAAACAGAAAGGACTGCCTAAGTCCTTATTGTTGTGATCTAGCTCATGGGAATTAGCGTGAGTTTACTGAAGGATCCTCACTGACTGCACTGCACTCTAGATGAAGCCTATGGTACCCTAAGTGAAAGCTTCCTGCAGCTGCACATCTCATTGGCTGCAAAGTCTGCACTTACCTTGCCATAAAATGCCTGTTTGTAGCATTGAACAGCTATGGCAATACCCCCAACAATACTGAATTTTGGTGTGTCACAAAGATAAAAGTATTTTGTTGTGAGCAATGAAACTTTAAGTCCCTTTTGTGAAATCTTTAGAGGGCCTAACTGCATCTGTTTTTATGATGTCTTACTCTACCAGCTTAGCACCAGGAAATTCATGGGAGGCCCTGGAGCGGAGGACATCTCTCTCTCCAGAAACAGAGGAAGCACTTCATATGCTGACTGCAGATCTATTAATGACAAAGCCTTAGTGTTTTCCAAAGGCTATCCTTCGCCTAAATTGTTGCATTTCTTGGAAAGCTGTGCGAAAAATCTTGAGATCACTTTAAAAAGCTCAAAACTCCAAACACTGAACTTATTTGCCTGTTCTGCATATGCAAAACATCGGTTTTCTTCAGAACTACAAATGCTGGAAATGCATGCAAAATAAAATGTAATCCAATTATGCCTAAGGTCTTAATATCAAGGAATACCTTCCAAATACTTCAAAACTCATTGTGGGACTGGGAGGTAATAATAGTAAACTAATTTTTTCCTATCTCTATAACCATAAATGCCTACACGCAGTGAAAATACTGGAATAGAGACAGAGGAAGGGCTGTGTAGGGACTCATGCTTTCACTGACTAAGCTCCTGATTTGTCAGGCATGGGGTAACCATGTATGAGCAGCTATAGCTATGATGAGTTTCTGAGTAACATGGCCTTTGGCTGCTGTGTAAGACTAAAAGCAATCAAAATAACTTTTAAACCATTTACTGAAATGTGAATAGATCAAGACTGTTTCTTGCAGCATTCAGTATGATCATTGATCCATTATTTCGGGCTACTTTACAGGAAGAGTTAGTACATGCTGGATCCAGTGCATGTTGAAGCATGAGTGCCAACACAGAATACGTGGAAGGTACTGGTAAGTAATAAGTGTAATTTAAACCACACACGCGAGGTATTGCATTTTCTTAACAGTCGTGTTATCCTGCGAGACCAAAAAAACTGTTTTATCCAGCAAAAAGAATAATATATCTAGGAGGAGGCCTGGAAAGAGCCTGTAGAACCCAAAGCATGGGTGTAGATCAAGGTCTTTGCAAAAACACAAAAGGGAAGGTAAAATTTTGTAATGTGTTTAAGAGCACTTGAGCATAATTCAGCTCTTCTATGTAATCCCTTTTAATGTGACTCTGAAATTGCTGAACTAGAATACAGCTGTTTTATGCTGTGTTTTTTAGGCTACTAAATCCCCATTTTCAAGAGGATTAGAATTTGCTTATGTTCTAGGCCGGTGACCGTGGTTTTCAGGGAGGTTAGCCTTCAAGCTTTGATTGCATGGCTGCTGGATGTGCTCAATAGTATTCAATAAAAAATACATTCTTGAATTTATTGCTAGCAAAGCTGTCCTGCTAATTATCTTGCAGGTAACTTCAGCTTTCTTACCAATGCTTTTTTGAATAAATCAATAGCAAACTTTCAGAAAAACATGGTGAACAAAGTTCTCTGTGACTGCCCCTTGGACAAAGAAATTCGTATAAACTGTGCTAGAAAAATACATTGAGCATCTTCAGTTTGTTGAAGTAATTAAGACAAATCACCTTCTCTAAGAAGTAATGAGTTAGATCACATGGACTAAAAGCATATAAAACATGCTGTGGGTAATTGTGAGCTCCTCCTGAAAAATGGTTTGGAGTTCTCCTTGTACCTTTCTCAAAATGCTTTCCAGGGTAGGAAGCATATTATACAAGTGAATGTTTTGCTACAACATAGGGTTTGAGCTTTCCTATAAAGAATAATTGTGTATTTCTGTCCGCACTCCTGATATCTCTGATAAGCTTCTAACTTACTCTGTCATGTTTTTTCAGTCTTACTCTGTCCAATTACCAAGAGCTTAGCACTGCCATAATAATCAGTTCTTTTAGTGCTGTGGTGACTGGCCTGGCAGACACACTTGAGTTATATGAAGAAATAAATCCTTTATTTTTTAAGCAGGGGTAGAAACTGACAGTACACACCTCACCACCTCAGTGTAGTGTTCTTGTTGATAAAATCTCTCTCAAATCGACTGCAATAACTGACAGAAAAACAGAAAAAGCTTTATTTTTCATTTCACAAGACTCTATACACTTTCATTTTTAAATGAAAGCTTATCTGCTAATTGGTTTGACCCCTGATTCACCTGTTCATAAAAGGAGTCCATTGCTTTGCCCAGTCTGAAGGCTAAAAGGCAATGGTAGCTCTCACCTAGGAGTATGACTGAAATTGCTTTTATTCCTTGGCAACATGCCGTTACATTTATTGTGAAACCACTGCGATACCATAAATAAAGAGATTTTTAATCCTCATAAATCAGAGTGCCTTTATTTGATATTTAAGGGCAAGTCAAGGATATTAAAGTATCACTGAAGATAGCAATAAAAAGAAACGTCTCTTCTTGATAATCCATTTAAAGACTTTCAGAAGGGATTGATAATTATCCTGGCATTATAATAGCTTAATTTCTGCAGGCTTTGCATCTCTTTAGTTTGCATTACTTTTGCATCTATGATTTTTAAGGTATTATTTTTAGGTTAATTTTTTTACTAGATTTCAAATTCTCATACTTGAAGACAAGTCTCTACAAGTCTAAGTGAGGCTGCAGTTCCCAAGGGGAGGCTTGTTACAGAACGTGTGGTGCTAACTTAACCAGAATATTCACCTGATCTGCATCTTGCAGAAACCTCTAGAATCTGTCATTCACAGACTTCACTCTTTCCAGTTCATGACAATGATGCATGACAGAATTAACTCTTCAGTGACAGACCTTCTCAAAAGGGGAAAGAATATATGGTGGCTGTGATGGCAGTACAACAAAGATAGTAAACCTGCAAGAGTAGACATAGGATGCAATAAAAGGTTGGTGTCTTGCAACACTGGATTGTGACAGGTTTTATAAAAAGAAGGGTGCAGGTGTGTACGCATGTGGGAGGGTGCATAGGTTCGTGAAATGGAATCGATAAAAATTGTGTTAGTTGGCCTGGAAACAAGGAACCTAAACTTTTTTCATTCTTCGTTGTCCTGTAGAAGTCTGACTTTTTCAAGGAAGTATATGCCTATTTCATGCAGGGGTAAATAGTGACATTTGTTTTATCTTATCCAAGTCGGAACTAGAGACTAACACAGCTGGAGATTTGTGTGCAGTCACAGGAAACCATGTGCATTATCAATGTTTTTGGAAAGTCTGGGGGAAATCAGTTGAGATGGTGGGCCTGATAGTTTTATGTATCTTTTTGGATTAAATGTAACTTAATTTTACTTTTGGTAAAGCTGAAAGTTCTTGAGACCCCAGCTATGTTTCTTCAGAGTGGTTGGAAAGATCCAAGTACTAAAGTATTTTTGTGCTCTTATTCAGAGTGGGTCTGTAGTCTTCATCCTGTATTACATCCACTGGGAATGTTTAATCTAAATAATTGACAAATGAAGCAAGCCTCTCTCTGACACTTCTACAAATTACTTCTGGAAAATCTTGCCCATTAGAAGTCAGTCCTAGCAGTCAACTGTGTTTGGAACCTGTTGTGCAAAATGATACAAAAACAATAAGGCTGCCCCTACAGAGCAGTAATAGGTTTCACAGTTTTAAGATTAGCACATCCCTTTCCTTTGAGCGACATACTGTCTGCAGCCATCGTGACTTCTCTCCTCGTGAGTTTTTCAAAATATAAGTGCAATGTATCATGGACTGCTACTCTAAGGCTCTGAAAACAATTCTCCATTTTCTTTTCAAGACCTTGGGAAAGAATTCTTACATTTCTTGGTGCCTTAGTTTCCCAAGAAGACTGTTTTTGAGGCAGGTTCTGATATACCAGAAACTGCTGAAAGCTGGGAGGATAATACCACAGTGGGGAAACACTGCTTTCTTCCTGTGCTATACCTTAAGTGTCCAGTGTTGGATGGTGCTCATGATAGGAAGTGAAGAGGCATCTGTTTTTGTGTCCAGCTAATGTGCATCACCTATCAAGTATAATCTTGACTTTTCTGCACTTGTACCATTTAAAAATTTACTCAAATTAGGCAGGTAGAGGCTTAAAGAACAGTATAGAAAAGCTTTTCTTGTTTTACTGAATAGCAAATATTCTGCAGTGAATGGAATAACCTTACAGTACTGTAAGGAAGTATAATTACTACAAAATAGCAACTTTCCAGATCCTAATGTCACTTACAAGCCTCTTGATATCTCTTTTTAATCAACTTCTGCCAAAGTTGCTGTAAGAAGAGTAAGTTTCCCATGAACAAATATGATTATTGAGGAATTTGGAACTAATGGGGCATGCAAAGGATGCTTCTGAGTTCTTCCATACTTGTGTCTTATTCTCAGAGGACAAGAATGAACCGAGAGATTAACTCCCCAAGTTGTCCAAGCATATACTGAACCCCAAAGCAGGTGGAAGGCTGGACAAGTGAGCCCTCCGAGCCTTGTAGCTAAGGATGTATGGGCACAAGCAAGTGCACGGAAGAGGCAGGTGGCAGTAGGCTTTCAGGGGGATTTCAGGGTGCTAGCAGAACCCTCAGACTGTGCTGTGGTACATGAAGGAAATCAGGGTGACATCTGCTGCCGGCATGAGGCAGCCCTAGCAGCAGCGCATCTCTGGGGCTGGCCAGGACAGCAATACAGCACTTCCACTCCAGCCTCCCAGTGAAGCGAGCAGGCTGCACAACGCCCTGCGGGACAGGTAAGGGTGAGGGAGATGCAGGCTGAACGCCCACAGCACAAGGCCTCACCCCCCAGGGGAGATGCACGTTTATTGCGCCGGGGCTGAGCGGCATCCAGCGCTCTGCCCCGGGCTGCTGGGACGAAGGGAGGCCCCGCTGCGGGCGCCCAGAGCGGGGTTGAGGCCCTGCGGCCTCCCCGGGAGCCTGGGGCTCCGGCGGCTCCCAGCGCCCCGCGCCTCACGGAGCGGCAGCCGCGGTGGGGCCGGGCCGGGCTCGCTGCCGCCACCTCTCGGCCTGCCGCGGGCAGCGCTCCCCGCCTCAGGGTGCCCCTGGGAATGGCGAGGGGCTGGGAGGGGGGCGCTCAGCGGCTGAAGCCAAGGGGAATTTAGGCGCGTGCCCACTACGCGTTACCCTGCTCTAACGCTGCTCGAGGTGTGATTCTCACTCATCCTTGTCGTTTTAGCCAAGTGTAACAACAAAGGAGAACGTAGTGAGCAAGAGGGCAGAGGCTGCAGCCTGCAGTCAGACCTGCAGTGTTACTGTAAGTACCGAAGGAGTGTATTAACTTTCCTATGTTTCAGGGAATGAAGCCCAAACCATTTCCCTTCTTCCTCCCCTCGGTAGAGTTCCAAGAGATTTGAGTCTTCTGTACTGCTAACACTGAAGAAAATGGTTGTATTAGAAAGAGGAGGCTTGTGATTTCACTTCAGGAGAAAAGCTGTTGTTGTGAAATGTGTGCAATGAAACAACTTTTCAAAGCAGGGGCAGGTGGATGAAGAGAAATGGAAAACAAAAGCAACAGTGAAGAACCACTGTGAGAAAGAGGGTAAGAGCAAGGAATGACAGGTGTCAAGCAGCATGAGAACCGTAAAATAAAATGTGGGGGAGTCTAACAGTAGTGGAACCAGAAACAGATATGGACAGAGATAGTAGGTGGGAGAAAAGATCGGATGAAGTCTACCTGAAAAGATACACTTGCCCTTAGTTGTTCCCTTCTTCATTGAGGGTAGGTAGAAAATTAAGATGATTTTCAGTTGGGTAAAAGTAGTTACACTTCTTGTTTCCTAGCAGAGCCTTATCTTTAAAACAGGAATTAGTTGGCTAAAAGAGTGAACAGGTTTAGCGCAAAGGACTCATGATAGAAGTACTTACCCTTTAAGCATGGCATAGGGTATTTTAGCTATATAGGCAACTTCTAGTTTGTTGTCTCTGGTCAGGTATTTTTGAACATTATCTTAGCTGTGAGAGACAGCTCATTGTACCCCTAAAAAGCGTATCAGTGAGTTTTAACATACTGGAATGCACATTTTGCTTCCCATGTGGAATTACTTTGGGCTACTTGTTGCTGAAATGTTTCTGGGCACAAACATGATTTGATAAATGTAACAAAAAGTTCTTTGTAAATTTAATCATGTATTCTGTGACATAATAGTTTTAAATCTCAATTATGCTAGACACATGCACCAAAGTACTCTTTCCAAAGTCCTTCTGTTATGTTTTTGATGCTCTCAGCACTAAACTGGATGTGGAAATTGTGGGAACTGTAACAACTGTGATGAAATACAGGAATCTGAAAATGGGGAAGCGGCAATGGACTCTGGGGAATTAAAGCATCTTTCTTGTACATTCTTCTGCTAAGGGAGGTGAGCAGAGAAGCAGAGAAAACCAGCTGAAATAAATAGAAGTTTTCCCCAGTATGTTGGTTCTCATTGTGCTTCTGTGAATTGAAGTATCTTCAAAGTTATTAGGTTAGTTGATTTAAAGATCAAAACAGAAATTTCCTTAAGTGGTATATTCTTTATTGCAGTGCTGGATGCACGGGGGATCTTTCCGCCTATTGTGCATGTTCGAAGTGACAAACTATCTCATATTTATACAGCGAAACAATGAATATTCTATTAGCACCTATACATATTCATTACCTAACCCCGACTACTCTTGCTTCGTATGCTAATTAGCTTATCAGTCCTTGCGCTTGCGCAAAGCCTTCCAAAAATTGTGGGCTGGGGTCTTCGGGATGTGGGCAGTGGTCTTTGGGAGGAAGGCCGTAGGTCTTCCTCGTGATGCACTTTTCACCTTTTGCTTAATCAGTTGTTTTCCAAATGCTGAGTTGGCTTTCGGTTTAACTGAGGGTCGGCAGATAACAGGATGTTTCAGTTAACAAGACATAACGGACAGTTGACTCAAGTTATCTCAAGTCTCAGCCTGACTGACGGTTAACAGATAATGGGATGTTTTCAAATAACAAGATGCTTCAACATAACAGAAGGACAACAGATAACAAGATGTCATTTACTTTGTTCTCATTAATTTTTAACCACAAGATTTATTCTGTTCTAAAGTGAGTCTATACAATATCAAGTTCAGCAGTGTAGTGCTTGCCTAGTGCCAGAGAGAGCACTGACCCTGTTTTGGCAGATCTGCAGAATGGGAGCTGCTGAAGCATGGCATGTATGGACCTTTCTGAGGATACTCACATCCTAAATTCATCAGTAAACAGAACAGTAGTTCAGTCCAAACCTCTAAGTAAAAGTAATGAATGACTGAGACCCTCGGAAAGGTAATATAATCTGGAATGGCTGATGTGTCTGTTCAGTAATGTGGAACTGTCAAACCAAGTGACCTGCATTTCTTGTATAAAGGCCTGACCTTTTTGGAAGCTCAAGTATCCATGTCCTGACAATGATTTTCTTAAGGTGTAGAATCATTTAGTAGTCTTGATGCTCCTCTATAACAACTGAACAGTTTTAATTGAGTATGATTGCTCTGAAATTTTCAGAATAAAATAGGGAAACTCAGGTAGCTGTAATGGTACAGAGTACAGAGGAAGACCTTGTCCATATTTTGAGAATATAGTTTAAGGTTACCCCAAAACATGTTTTAGCAAGGCAATTCCAAGGCAGAAGAAAGTCAGTAGTGTGAAAAGTGAACTGAGTTAGTGTTAACTGTCTTTTTCTTGCTGTACTTGGTTGATGATGGTAGAGCTGAGTTTTTGATGGCACATGGAGCCTGGCTTTGCATCTGAAATTCATATTTTGCTCAGCTAGTAATTACATTTAAAACCAAGCTCTACACGCATTTTCTTCCTTTCTCTGGAGGAGAAACTGTTGTATCAGAAAATCTTGCAAACATGTTATATTTTCTTACTCGGTAAAGCTTTCATTTCTAACTGGATGATACTCTTATTATAAGTAAAAAAAAATTAAAAAAAAAAATCTTCTGGCCATTAGCATTTAGTCCTGAAATTAGACTGAACATTTCATTTCATTCAGAGACTCACAGATTCAGTACTTGAATAATAATGAATCATCCGTACGTAGAAATATCATCCCTAGGATGTGACATTATTGTGCGGCACTGCCACAAAGAACCTTAAGGATGTGATTAGTACAACTGGGTTTGCTGATAACTTGGCTTGATCAAATCCATTCATTCTCTTCCCACCTTCTTCATTCCTTGAGATACTGACGTCCAATTTCAAGTTTTGATTGTAGCAAAGTGTAGCCTATATATGAAAAATGAAAGATTTTCTCCCCTACCAGTTATAACTTCCTCTTGTTTTTCTGACTTTCTCTTTCCTTCACATTTCTTTTTGTTGCCTTTCCTTTCTTGTCAGCACATAAAATTCCTCTTTTGACTCAGTGAAGGGATGCTGTCTGGGAACACCCCTACCAGGAGACCACTACACAACATGCTTCGGGTCAGCCTGCCTTTTAAGCTTCAGGAAGGTGATTTCAAAATCAATTGGAAAATTGTTTCCAAGAAAGAGGCACTGTGCTTGTAGAAATGTAGTGGTAGGTATAATTCAATAGCTCAGACCTTCAGTTCAGCTGAGAGTCAGTGGCTGCAGTAATGGACTTACAAATGGAGATGAGATTTGTGATGATTTATTGGTTGAAGAAGAGGAAGTGAAATAAAGGAAAGGTTGGCGAGAGCCTCAGGAAATACTCTGTGTAGTATAAAATGGGTGCAGTTAGAACTGTATTTTTATTGTCTTGCAGAAAATAAACCTCTTCCAATATGTTCAGCCATTCTTTCTTGGGAGTAAGTTAAAAGTTTTACCAGGAGGCATTGTGCCCCACCTGATTTCAGTACAGCCATACTTTTTGCAGTTTTCATCCCTTACTGCATCTGCTCACTCTTAGCATGAGGAATTCAAGTTGGGCACAAGCCTTCTGTCAGCATATTTCCAGTATACCAGAAAGTGTTGCATAAATTAATAAGCTAAACTGCCAGCTTGCTTTAAAAAAATTATAATATTTTTCTCCCTGATTTGCCATACACTAGCAAGAAGAGCAGTTGTGCTTGACTTCTGGTCCTACCTGTTAAAGTTGGCATCTGTTTCTTTTATTAATATCCTGAAAGTGCCTCCAGATCAGCATCAGTTTCTGTAGCAAAGCGTAGCCTTTTTTCCCTGTTTCCCTATAGGTTTTTCCCTTTTCCTCATTTTAGCTGCTGTGTAGTTTTACTCTACCCTTGCTAGAATGCCAATTAAATTTGCTACATTTTGTACTAGAGCACAGGCATGAACAAGTGTAGCAGCTGAGATTCCTCCAGGGAACAGCACTTGATTGTGTATAGGAAGGGGGAGCTTTCCACAGCCATTCAACTCTGACTGCAAAGGACAGCAAGCTGCCAAGACTTAGGGCCAAGCAATCCTTCTGTCAGATGTAGAGCTGTCAGAAAATGATTGACTGCTTTGACAACCACCAGCTACTTCAGCCTTGCCAGCAAAAGGGCTCCATCTTCTTATTTATTTATTTATTTTGACACTTCGTAATTCCCGTGATGGTCGAAGTATCAGCCAAGGACAGAAATCAGAAAGTTCAGAATACATATGTCTTGGCTTTATTTTGGGCTGTTCTCATCCTTTTAAAATAATGAAGTCTTCTCTGAGGAGGATGTAGTCAACTCAGAAAATGATTTAGAGCCTGAACCAAATGAGGGAAACTGAGGCAGAAGTACTGGCAGGCTGTGCTAGTGCAGAAAAAAAACAAGATGCATCTGATCTTCCACAGGCTGCCACTGTTGTCCATGTCTTGAACAAAGAAGAGGTAACAATGAACACTGGTCTTTTTGGAGGAGCATAGCTTGAAGTCCCTTTCTTTTTCTCCATTCTGTTTAATCAACACTTGAGGAAACGCTGATGGTGACTTGCTTCCCTTCCCTTGTGAATTAGGATCTGAAGAATTTCTCTTCTTTAGTGAGATGGAAGAAAAAACAGAACATGCCAAATAGGATTATGAACCCTAGCTACTTAAAAAAACAGTAAGTAAGACATGAAAGGTACAGGAAAGGTCTGAAGAAAAAGACCCATTTGTTCCACCATGCCAGTTCCACTGTAGGGTTCTCTTCTCTCCCCACCCAGCATTCAACGTCTGTTTTGTGAATCTATTACATATGCAATGTTCATGTTGCTTTACTCTCAAGTTTCCAGTATCTACTGCTCCACGATAGATACAGTATCTCCATCAGAAGAGCTCTCCAGACTTGCTGTGAAGTCTCATTCTATTCTGGTGAACGGAACAGGACTTCAATGAG